CTCTTCCGGCCTTCCGTAAAGCTACTAAGACCTGGCTGTTCCGGCAGGCCTGGGGCTGTTGATTAGCATCCAACCCCACTATAAGCAGTAGGTATGTTGTGTAATTTTAAACAATTGTATTTCTATTTTTAATTTTTATATTCCCTTGTTTATATGTAAGCCGCCCAAAGTCCCTAGGGAGTGGGTGGCATACAAATGTCAATAAACTTCCAAACTTCCATTATGACTTGGAAATTATTCTTTTGTTCCTTTGGGAAAATCCCACTCCAGAGTTAAAAATTAGAGCAGATACAAAACCAAATAGTTTCTGGACAAAACCAGTAATTCTGTGCTCTTGGCTATAACTTCAACTTTTATTCATACTCCAGGCACGAAATAAAAACACAACCCTAAGACAGTTTGCTGAAGTGGAAACAGGGAGATTTTAAGGTCTAGTCCTGCCTGAGGGACAAAGCCAACTGGGTGGCCTCAGGTCCATATTTCACTCAGCCCTAATCCATGGCAAACCACAGCCAATCATTTCTGAAATCTTGCCAAGAAAACTGCAGGATCTTATCCACGGAAGTTGCAAGAGCCGAGGTGGCACAGTGGTTAGGGTGCAGTACTGCAGGCCACTTCAGCTGACTGTTATCTGCAGTTCAGCAGTTCAAATCTCACCGGCTCAAGGTTGACTCAGCCTTCCATCCTTCCGAGGTGGGTAAAATGAGGACCCAGACTGTGGGGGTGATATGTTGACTCTGTAAACCGCTTAGAGAGGGCTGAAAGCCCTATGAAGCGGTATATAAGTCTAACTGCTATTGCTATTGCAAGGAGTAAAGGCATGCCCCTCTCACAAAAGATTAAAGTGTTCTTTTTAATGATCTCCAAAATATGTCAGCATAGCGCAAAACACTTCAGTTGATGTACTCTACTGACTAAAGATCATATTTATCATATTTTATCATTGACAGTATCAATCTCTCGGTCACTAATCACTGGTTGTTGTTTTTTAATTGTTACTCAACTTG